CGTTGTGCCTTGCCTCCCACGACTTTTTTTTTGGGGGGTGGGAGGGTGTGTCAATTATAAAGTGGGGTGTCATTTGGCAAAAAAAAAAGCCCCAGGAGTAGGGAAGTGGTGCTCGTAATTTTGGGCAAATGACACGGCATTTGGTAATTGACCCCCCTCCAAAAGTGTCTGTACGTAATTTGCTCTATAATATATGATATTTATATGCTATATATATAAAGTAACTAGTATATATATAATATAAATATAATATAAATAAATATAAATATATAATATATATGATATGATATAATATAATACAAATATAAATAAATATTATATTCTATTATATTATGATTTGACGGGTGTTGAGAAAGAAAGACGTCTCGTGATATGTACGATGGAGTGCTAACTAGTGTACGAACAACTAATGGAGAGACGAGTGAGTTTTCAGTGACAATAGGTCTATGGTGCATGTAGTCGCAAATGACATAATTTTGATTGATGAGCCCCAAAACGACATCAACACAAAGTTAAAACTTTGGAGTGATGCTCTAGAATCCAAAGATTTTAAAATTAGTCGGACTAAGATAGAGTATATGGAGTGCAAGTCTAGTAATAATAGGAGTAGAGACGATGAAGTAGTTAATATTGACGGTCAGGAAATATAAAAAAGACTGCACTTTCGATATCTTGGGTCAATAATCCAGGAAAATAGAGAGATTGAGGAAGATGTTGCACACAGAATTAGAGTTGGGTGGGCGAAGTGGAGATATGCAGCTGAAATTTTATCTGAAGACGCCATACCAATGAGGCTGAAGGGCAAGTTCTATTGGACAGAGGTGAGATCAGCTTTGTTCTATGGGCTAGAATGTTGGGCGGACAAAAAACAATATAACCAGAAAACTAGTGTAGCGGAGATGAGGATGTTGAGATGGATGAGTAGCAAGACAAGAAGGGATAAAATTCGAAATGAATCTATTCGAGAGAACTTAGGTGTGGCACCAATAGGCGATAAAATGAGAGAAAGTAGACTTAGATGGGTTGGCCATGTGTGGCGCCGACCAAGTACAACACCTGTTAGGAGGTGCGAGGTAGTTCAAGTGGAAGGACTGAAAAAGGCAAGGGGTAGGCACAAAAGGACTTGGTTGGAAGTAGTCTGAAAAGATATGAGGACTTATGGCCTCACTGAGAATATGGCCTTTAATAGAGCAAAATAGAGAACCATGATTCATGTAACTGACTCCAATTAATTGGGAAAAGGCTAAAATGATGATGATGATGATATTATATTATATTATGTTATATAAATTATATTATATTATACATTTATATATTTATATAATATGTATAATATATTTATGTATTAGATCATAATATAATTAATATTATATATTATTTAATGTTATATAATATATTATATAATATAAAATAATATGTTATATATATAAAATATTATTTATATTATATATTAATTATTATTGACATATAATTTATATATTAAATATATAATTTACATATAAATAAAATATTATATTGTAAATAGTAAATAGTGAATAGTGGGTTCGCGTATAAAAACTACTGCACGGGGAATGTTTCCCCACCTCAATAGGTGTGGTTTTATTTTACCATGAATTAGACCATTTCATGGTAAAAGCTTTTACCATGGTATTTTATTTGCATATGTATTTGTGCGAACCAAGCATATGAAACAAAATTTACATATGTAGATATTTTCTGGGAATATTTAGGTGCGAACCAAACATACCCTTAGGGAAAGATTTTGTGAGAATATTTGTGGGAGTAGAGAATATTTTGAATTTGGAAAATTTCTTTCAAATATATGTCATCTATTTCTTCCACCAAGACAGCGAAATTTGTCATTTCATTCTTAGATGTCTCCCAAATACAAGTTATTCCATTGATTTTTTTTTAACTAAAAATGCTACGTATTGTTGGGTACATTTTTTCAAGCATTATTTGGTTTCCTCCATACTATGTTTAAATTAGTAAAAAAGTTGGGAAATCTGGTGACTAATGCTAGATTCTGTGCATTGACCAAATTTAGGGAGGTTTAGATAGAGGTATGGGATAATAAATGGGAAAAGGCCAAAGCCCTAGAATCCAAACGACCTTCCTGATAAACCTGAGGTTACCTATCTCAAAGTCAACTGTCTATGGGGATGACAGTTTTGGGTCTCACTTCATTTTGTATCGAACAATTTAATATCTTAGCCCTTAAAGTTCCATTTTCAAAATCAGGAGACTGAACAATGTTGACATCTTTGCAGACGTAATATAATTTTATGGCCTTGTCAAAATAAGGGGGATGGTTCAGTAGTGGATTGGGGGTAGGGAGTAAAGAAATTTTTGAGGAACCGTGAACACCCTAGAAATAGAGTTAGGTTTAGCACGAAACTGGAAAAACAACTTTTGATTTTCCTCTGGTCATAAACCAACAAAAGGACTCTTTGAATTTTATGCAGTGTTATTAAGGACTCAATGAGTACTTTAAAGATTAAGGCTCTTTAGTCCTTTCAGGTTTAAAGAGTGTTGAGTCCTATAGCAACTAGGGTCCACCAGTCCTTTATGTTTTAAGAAGTGTACAGGGTTCAGGATGAGCCAGAGCTGAGTCAATTGAGCTCAGTTCGAACTATATGATCGTATGAACAACTTCTTATGATGTTTTTTGAAAGTAGTCTATACATGGTGTTCCTGTTTACTATTTATGCTGGGTTAACTGTCATTTACTTTGTGATTTGTACCAAACTGCTTGGTGGATCTCATTGCTTTGAAACTTTGGGTGCTTTTTTGTTGCTGGCTATATTTTATGATTTATGTTTGTTTTATTTTTTTGTTTGATGCATCGATATAAGCTTCATCTTTGCTTAAGCAGCAAAATTGGAACACACTTCTCATTCTCAAAGAAATATTATTAATTTGATGCGAGCTTGAATTATGTGCAGGGAAACTGGTGATGAGGAAGTCCTGAAAACACTTTGGGAGAAATATGAGGAAGCCACAACAAAGGTATGATTAAGGGGTTACTTGAGAAGGATAGATTTGGCTAGCCATAGTTAGTTACAGATACTAGATTTGTTCAATACCTCGCTAAAACTGCCTGCATGGCTTGTGAACGTCAGTAAGTTCTGTATGTAGCCATTGTGTTGAGTCTCAGGAAAATATATAATTGCTTCCTTTCTTTAGTCTTTCTAGGTTTCTGATGCAGGGGAAATAATAAACCAGAAAAAGCTTTTGTTTCTAGGTCTCCAAGGGAGTCCATTCCAAGATCTTTTTGCAAGATCAAACACTTTCTTTATTCTCCAATCATTCATTTTACAAAGAAGATATCTTCTTCCCTTTAAATACAACTAAAAGGGAATAATAAATAAAATAATAGAATAAAAAAAAAACCAATAAGACTCTCTCTCTATCCCCCATGTTTTCCTCTATATCTTCCTATTTCTCTCTCAAACTCAATCCAACGTCAATCTCTCCATGGGAATCTATTCTAAAAATCTCAAGTCCATAAAATTATGACTTTTCCTTGTTAATCTTTCTCTCTATTTAAAAGATAACTCCTACTATGAATCCCACATCCCTAACCATTTCTCTCTATCTAAAAGATAACTCCTACTATGAATCCCACATCTGTAACCACATGATACTCTTCCCAATAACAAAACAAGTAACCTAAAATTCTAAATTGAATATGCTTTATATCCCTCAATTCTCTACAATAAAAAAAGTACAAAAATAACCGTAAATAAATTAAAAACCTAAATAATACCAAATCTAAAATCAAGAAACCATAAAAATTCAAAAAATAAAAAAACTCACAACAACATTCTCTCGGGGTTGGGAGAAGCTCGACTTCAAGCTTGTTGAACGTAAATGTTTTGTAGGTCTTCTCAAAAGTTGATGATACAGTCCCAATATTCTTCTGGGTACTTTTTCTTCTTCAAATAAACAATTGATTCAATACAATTTGTAGTGGAACTCTGAGATACCGAAATGCGGGATATTGAATCTTGATTTTTCCTTCAAGCTCATAAGGTTGGATTTCACATATTGTATCACACATGTCTTCTTCTTCATAGTTGATTTCAAAATTTCTTGTATGTTTGGTTTTCGACATCGTCTTTTGTATAGAGATCTACCTCTTTATATTCTTGTTCCTCTTTATTGCAATATACTAAGTCAATCTTGTAGATATTGTTGTATTGATTTGCGAAGGTCTTCCATGTGCCTATCAAATTGTTGATCCAATTGCTCAAATATTTGATCAAATCGATCCAAACGCTCTATATGGTGTTTGGATCTTTGATCTCAAGGCTTTGACACCAACTGATGCATGGAGAATAATAAACCAGAAAAATAAAAATAAAAATAAAGGGATTGAGAGATTATACCCTGTCTCTAGGTCTGCAAGGGAGTCTACCCCCAAGATCTTTTCACAAGATCAAACTCTTTTTGTATTGTCCAATCACTCGGTTTACAAAGAAGAGACTTTCCCCCCTTTCAATACAACTAAAAGGCAATAATAAATAAAATAATACAATAAAAAACAAACCATAAGACTTTCTCTCTTTCTCTCCCTCACGTTTTCCTCCATATCTTCCTCTCTCTCTCTCAAACTCAATCCAATGTCCATCTCTCCATGGGAAATTTTGTAAATTGCTTAAGTCCATAAAAATGGGACTTTTACTTGTTAATCTCTTTCTATCTAAAAGATAACTCCTACTATGGATCCCACATCCCTAACCTTTTCTCTCTATCTAAAAGATAACTCTTACTATGAATCCTATATCCCTCACCACATGATAAGCTTCCCAAAAATAAAACAAATAACGTAAAATTCTAAATTAAATATCTTTTACGTTCCTCAAATCTCTACAACAAAAAATACAAACATAACCGTAAATAAAATAAAAACCTAAATTGTACCAAATCTAAAATCAAGAATATATATATATATATATATATATATATATATATA